TTTATATTCGATTCAAAGTAATGTTCTAGGACTATTCATTAGTTGAAAATAACATTTCCAACTAAATTATTGGAATCATGCAGAAAAAATTTAAATTATTTTTTTAGCTGCCAACGATTTGTATATTCTACGCGGATGATATCTAATATATGACTCGACTTTTTCTCGATATTTACTCATATATATATTGAAAATTTCTTCGGCAGTATGATACCAGTATATTGATGTTCATTACTAAAAACAATCTGATATTTTTATTGAAAAGATCCGATGTTATTATAAAAAACAGCTTCGACTATTAATCAATTTTGAAAACTCAGGTGAACGTATATTTTTTAACAAAATATAAAACACATATATTTTATATATGTGAATTAAATATAAAAATTTCATTGAAAAGACTAATACTTCGCAACGTATATATGAACCTACTGTTTAAGTATTTCAATAGCACGTTGTATTGTATATTGTATATACTTATGTGCTCCATTTCACATTCCTCGTTAGAGCATGAATGACAATACAATGATACATCGAGAGAAAAAATAATAAATAGGTCGACTTTCATTATGCTCTTGACAATAAAATGCCTTTTTCTGTTTTTTTTTTCATCTTTACGTTTTTCTGTCATATGAATTAAAGAGAAAAATAAATTAGTTCCGTCTTCAAGCTAGAGTGCGTCTGAAATAGTGGAGAAGATGATTTCTCACGAAGAAATAATAAAAAATCGAAGCAAACAACATAAAAGCAAATTTTTTCGTAGAAAACTTTGTATAAGTATTCCAAAGAAAGAAAAAAATAAAGTATCTTATTAATAAATGCTAATTTCACAATTTTTAAATTAATTTTCTCGTTCAACAAAAAACTTTAATTTAGATTTGTTGCTTATCTTTACACAAGAAATCTTTTCCAAATTTTTCTAATTCTGCACACATTTTATATATTTTGATACTCAATTTATGATAAAAGCTTTTTTGGAAGGTTAACGGTAGAAATCAAGACCATTTTAATTATTAAAGTATGCGATTCCATTAGAACATTACATTCCTAAAACATATCTGGAAACGAAATAAATACAGCTTTTATTTTTATTTATAAAAATAAATGTAAATAATATTAGAACAATTATTTGCTCGAAATTAATTATTTGAATCAAAATGTGTGAAAATTACTTGTTTCTAAAAATCGAGAAATATATAAATATTGTAAAAATATATCAAAATTATATGTTTATATTTACATGTTTGCAAAAAAAAATATTTGGACGTGTACAATAACCAGTAATGGCGAAAAAATATTTACGTAAAATGCACGAGATACTTTATGCTTTTATTTCTGCCTCTAACTTTTGGCAATAGCGCCTATTTCGTTTTTATTCATTTAAGTTTCTATAAGTATTTTCTAAAACAAAGAGTTGTTAATATATATATATATATATATATATATATCTGTTTTCCTAAAATGTCTCAGGTTACCCGAAATAATTGCTGGAAAATATCCAACCGCAGGCATTATGTTTCTATGCAGACCACGCAGTAATTCGAGGCACATGCGATATACTAATTAAGGCACTTGGCTTGAGATAACGTTGCGGAAACGCGAAGCTTATCGCCGACCAAAAATGTCATGCGTGTCTTGTAGACATTTACGTCCGTTTCGTGTGTTCGGTGGCGCTCGATGCATTAGTACTTTCGCGAGAATTCTTCTATCGTGTCGAATTGCATATAGCTTTTAAATAGACGCATACTAATTAAATTCGTGCGGATTAAAAGCCAAGCTAACCGATTAAAATAATCCTCCATCGCACGGTTTCTTTCGACGCAAGTAAAAATGGAGAATAACAAACGACATATACCAGGTATTATTTGCATAAGAAAAACGCGACTAAATTTCTATTATTGTATCATATCTCGACTATAACTATTATCGTATTTCTGTAAGAGTAGATGAGTAAATGAAAAATTCAAATTTCCAGATAGATAAAAAATTCAAATTCCTAGGGACCCACTGATTTATTAAAAAGTTGTGAGAGAGATCGCAATTTTTTTAATAGCATACTGCTCCGTCCAATTTAATAGTATAAGCGGATATACGTATATAGATATATAAAGAAACTTGCAATTTATGATGGATTACCTTACGAGTTTGTCGATTAATTTCAGGATCGCCAAATTGCACAATCGTCTAACCACGTCGCAAAGTATCGACATGAACGTCGATGCCGAAAGAGGGCTTATAACTTTTCTTGAAAATGGTTCGAGGCTAAAGGCGACGATACAGCACGGCGACATCACGACAGGGCGCTTTAGTGGTCGTTGCAAACAGCTTAAGCGAAACTGCCGAATAACGGGGCCTATTTTCTGGAAAAGGGTTCGGAGTCGATAGACTTCGAATACGAAATGTATTGTATTTGTGCCTCGCGTTTGCATGCGCGTTTCCCACGCTCGTGCGGTACCGCTGTATGAAAGAATGAAAGAAAAACAAATACGACAAATTCGTTCGATAGAAGAGCTTCGTCGGAAGAGAGTTGGAAGAGACTTGTTTTCCATTCAACGTCGCTGAATGCAAAACTATCCCCGCGCACTTCCGTTTTCCCCGCTTGAAAAAAAGAGTTCGCTCGATACGAATGTATCGCCGTCCCGTTGTCGCTCCCATTTTCACGAATAGCGGACATTCGCTACGTGCATTTCCCGATAGCAAATTCACGCGACCGTAGTCGTGCAAATTAAAAACTTGCGAAGCCTACGCTGCTAATCGTTCTGTACCGGATGAACATTCCGTAGAATTTCAAACACGTGTAGAGAGAGAGAGAGAGAGAGAGAGAGATATCAGTCTCAAAAAAATTCCCCGAGAATTCCAAGTTTTCCATGTTTTTCCAGGGGGTAGACATCCTGGACGAAATTCAGAGACGTGTCGATTTTTAGTAAAACGATCATTCAAACGACATGGCAGTCGCGCGTATAAGTTTTCGTCTCCGAGGGACTCTCGTAACAACTCGCAAACTCCGTCGAAATACTAATGCGTCGCTATTCGCGCATAATACAGATAAATCATCGTGTTCCCTTGATTTACCTGCAGTCGCGCCACATCTTGGCGCAACGCAATATTATAAGAAAATAACAATTTTATATCTGTCAATCATTATTATGCGTTTCACCTTATATCTTATTTTTCTCTCTGAGATAGAAAAAAAAATACAGCGTACGGTATAAACGCAATATGAACGAGTGATCATTATTATGCGTTTCACCTTATATCTTATTTTTCTCTCTGAGATAGAAAAAAAATACAGCGTACGTTATAAACGCAATATGAACGAGTGGAAAGTAGCCATAAAAAGCAGCGGTTACATGAATCGCTCGTTAACGATTGTTTTAGATGCTCCATATAAACGCGCGTTGAAAGGGTTCAGCTCTCTATTTACAGAGTTCGACGTAGAGTCTGGCACGTTTACCGAGGGATGGAATTACAAAGGAATGCCTGCCTAGCACGAAGAAATAGGTTTGAGCTCTCAAACGAGTCCTAATATTTGAAATATTGAAATTTCTTAATATCTTTAATTGACAGAGTCACGGAAAATAAGCCATAGATACCTCTAATGATGTTGACACATAATATCATAAAGTCATAATATACAACAAGGCTGTCGTATTACTATTAATCCCTTAAAAAAAAACTATATATGGTCAAACCATCGTACATCAGAAAAGCGTATATTTTATATAATTTTTAAGAAAAAACACGCACATAATTATACAAAAGAATTTAATGCGGCGTTTAAAAAAAGTCTCGGATATTTAAGCGGATATCGATATTCAAATAATTGTATTATTTATTCAGCGCGATATTATAAAGAGATGGCAATTAATCTTTTAGCTGTATTAGTATAGTATAATCTCCTATATATATACCTATAGTTTCGGCGTAAACTTATAAAAAAGTCAATTATATTGCATCAGAAATTCTGAGAACCGCGGAGAATGTTTAAAGATAAGCGTGATATAGAGACAATGAAAGCGTGATATAGAGATATAGTGCAAATTGCGCTTTATCTCTATTAAGTAATGCGTGTAATGAAGTGAAGTCTCTTGATTAGCTCGGCTAAGGACAATGATGAAAGACTGTCAGTGCTAAATGATCTTTGGCAGAAATTTCGAGTATCGTTCGACGATACGATGATATCTGCCAATGTTTTATCGATACGAGGCATGTTTAGTTCCTGTTATCCAGACGCGAAATAGAAACGTTTTGCTAGCGAGAAAATTCTCTCGTCGATAACGCCGAAGCTTTTCCCGGCGGGATAAATTTACCGACAACCGTCGGTAAGCAAACTGCCGCGTGTCTGACTAATATTAGAACGTTACTACTTGGGAAAATTACCCTTCGTTTTGGCGCTCGAATAGTAACGGAGAAAACTACGAGTCTCGCGTATATCGAAAACGTCAATCATTAATTAAATCGGCTATTTTTCACATCCAAGAAATGAAGTAATCATTCCTTTAAAATAGTTTTTTCAATATTCGATATAAATTCAGCCACCAAAATGATCCATTATGTCGCAATGTCGAGAAATTTCAAAGTTAAATTTGTAAAGGAGAACTATTTTAACTTTAATTTATCACGTTATAGTTATACCGTATATAACATTCTAGAAAAAGAAGTTCCATATTCTGTTCAAAATTAGATATATTGTCGGAATTTTCAATCTCAAATTTCTAAAAACTGACATGATAAAGTAATTCCGATAATAAAATCGTATTGAGAAAACATCAAAAAACTTGCAACAAATAATTATTCCATTTTTCTTAAATCTTTGCTTTTTTATATAATAAATCCGTTGTATTTGATTGTACAAGAAAATAATATATTTTTTAAAATCCGAATAAATCGCATATAAAAAATAACCGACTTCGGAGAATTATATCATAATTCTGTATCTTTTATGTATTAATAAATTCTCTCGGATATTTCGCAAAACGAATCAAGAAACAATCACTCACCCAAGAGCCTTCGTACTGATGAGAGGTGTCTTCAGATTCAAAAAGCCATTTTTCTTGGTAGATTGTTGTTGCTGACTCGAACCTTCGCCATTTTCATTCTGATCCTCGAGATCGTCATCCTGCTGCTTGGATTTCCTAGCGCGTAGATAAAGCCACATCGCCAGTGCGAGTCCTATTAAAATTGCGAGAGCTCCGAGTGTTCCAAAAACTGCTGTCAGTATGACGTCACGCCGTTCCATTCCCACCTGAAAAAAGAAAACACACATCAATCAAAATAAAAACATTTATGTACATTACTCGTGTTTACATCATTTTCATAACACAAATGACAATTCTGATGAATCGAATAGATAACGAATCTCGTTCAGAGCACAAAATGTTCTCGTCTTCGTCGTGCGCGTAATCTTTCATAAATTTTACAAATAAAAAAAATAATGAATCATTATCGAATCGCGGTGTAATCTCAAATTTCTCAAAATTGCGCGTTTTGGACGCGTATTCGGTGTCAAAAAAAAATACGCTATTTTTCGTTGAACGGTATAAAAGAGAACAATTTCAACGCTTCTTGTAAAAAGAGACAACAATACGACCTAAGTAATAACTAGGCGAGACATAAGTTTTTTTCGGCCATATAAAACTGGCGACAAAAATGTGTCTTTCGCTCGCAGGTCAGAACTTGGCATGATGGAGCACGTCCGAAAAATTCATTCGCAGACTTCGCACGTACTATGTGAGGTTGCTTGCAGCCAAGGTAAGAACCCGGTCAATACGGAGTGTAATATCTTGACAGTGGCCTATACATACGTAGTTCCTGTCTACGGTAGTCGGGAAGGCTAGACGTTACGCCCATGAGAGATAAACCATCCTGTCATTCCATGCACGAATGAGATTCGCAATTTGAGGCCGTCGCAATTTGGGATATCTACACGTGCACGCGAACTATTTCGGCTAAATCTCGACCGAGCATGGATAAACCGTATACGAAATAAAGACGCCGTTTGAAAAACGTCAATTCGATTGATCGGAACATTCCTAAATACCTGTGTTTAATTACCAGATTGTTAACAATATTGTTCATGTAAGAAAATAATAAAATGTTGGAATCATCGCTGACGTGATTAAAATTATTTATAAATATTTCAGGCGTTTTTCAATATTCAATTTCGAGTTCGAAGTTACAAGTTTGAAAATAATCTTAAATTATTCTGAATATATTAATAATTTCCTTGCTTTATATGAGTTTATAAGAATTCCCTTTATGCGCAAACTCACTCAAATTAATTAAATTCTAATTCAAAATAACCGCTGTTATATAAGGAAAAGAGAGAGAGAGAGAGATATTCAATCACTTTTATTTATAAATTTAAATCTCATTTTATATTCGAGAAATATGTTGATCTTATTACAAGATAGCATCAAAGTATAGTTCTATTTCTGTTAGCACTTTGCAAATTAATTTTACCTTATCTGCTTAACGAATACGAGGAATATATGTATTGGTTCATGAAATATGTCAAGATTTTTAAATCTTTTTAAATAATTTTTTCTGAAAGATAAATGACCCTCTCCCTTCTCTCTCTCTGCTCCCTGTATCACAATATGAGATTTTCTCTCTCTAAGATTTTAGAGTCTGCAGTTTTCTCAACAGTTATAATTATACGTAAAACTTACACATTGTTATTAAATTGATGCGAAAGGCGGAACACGCCCTATGTATAATATCGTTTTGCTTAATACAAATCTTTCGCATCAACTTAATAAATGATAGAGATTTTTTTCCAGGACACCTCCCAACACTTGTATTCGTGTATCACGTATACTTTTAATTTTAACGCATTATTTCCAATGATGTTCCGGCTAAACTATGTAAAAGAAGTCGCCCCTATATTTTAGCTTCCAGAACGTGTCGCTCACATCATGACTCTCCTTGAACCGTTAACACATTTCCATAGACATCCATTCTCGATTCTCCACGCGATACTTCCGATCTTCGCGTCGATCAAACCCATTTCCTTCTCTTCTTCTCCTTCCCAGAGAACGTGTTAATAAAATACTATAATTATTTCTCAAAATTATCCACCAGTTATTTTTCCGACTACATGGCAATTAAATTCACAACCATATAAACCAGCTCCTTGCAGGAACGTTAACAAACGATCATGGAGAAGGTCTACAATAATAATACAAGACGAGTCCGGGGATTCATTAATATGGCTCTCTCCAAGCGTATTTTGTGAGCGAACGCGACAAAGTGCACTTTAGAATGCAAAAGAGTTTCTCATCGCAAACGCGTACCATTTAAATTTGTTACATCATGCATCCCATTGAAACACGATTATCGGCTGATAGAACGATTTGCGGACAGAGAAAATACCGACGCGCAATCATCGATGACTAATCAACGACTGGCTTTCAGGCAATTTTAAATGCGCGCGACAGCTGCAATCAGTTTTTCCGTTCGTTAAAAGCTGACCAACTACACAGGATGCATTGACGCGATACTTATCGCGCAGTGATATAAGTCAGTATTGCGTCATATATATAGTCATATGTTATAAATGCGTGATTATATCTTGTCATGGCGTAAGATATATATTTCTTTTTGCAATAAAATGACAGAAAAAGTCTATAATTTAATAAGCAAATTTTTAATTTAATTATAAAATATTTTTATAATTTTATAATTTTTTAGAGAACCACTTTTCCACGCGCAATAATATAAATATATATCATTTTACAATTTCATTTACACGATATGAAAATCATAGTTAGTAGATGCTAAAAAAATTTGCATTTAAAGTGTACATTTAATGTATAAAGTGTAAAACAGTATAAAGAAATATCAAGAGTAAAATGTTCACTTGACGTAAGCGAAAAAAATTATATATTAAATGCTACTGCAAAAGAGATTAAACACGTGATGATCTCATTACATTGTTTAAAATTACTGAGCCGTGGCGGATTAAGATAAATACTTCAACATACAAAACTGAGAATAGAATTAATGTGGATTACAGCGTGAAACGTTAAACATGGTTTTAAAGTTATACATGACTTTACGCTTTCAATCGTAAATTAGCTGACTTTATGCATTAAAGAAGAGTATCAAAGAATTTCCGACTGAAAGGAAACGCTATTGTTCCGTAACGTATTACGAATGTACATTTCACAGTAGCACTTTGAAATATAAAATGATAAAGCGCCTTAAAAATTTTGCTTCCAATTTTGGGCAATGAGATACATTTCTAATGAATTTTAAATATCGTTCTAAAATTTATTTAGAAATAAACTTTAATCTATTTTTTCACATTTTTAGTTAAAATATTCTTTTGTGAAAGAAAGAGAAAAATATGTCTCTATGTCATATTTCCTCTCTTATTTTTTGTATGTATATTTATCTAGTAACCGAAAGATAAACGAAAAGGATAAGCAAAAATGTCAGAATTAAGACAATAACAGTTTCCAACATCGTATAAGCGAATAAAGTATTTATCAGTGTAAACAGTGGATTTAAAAAAGGATTAAAAAAAATATATAGAAATGAGAGTTTCATCATTTGTGTGTGTGTGTGTATGTGTGTGTGTGTGTCTACTCATACATAATTTAAAGTAAAACTTAAATTAATCGGATATTGTAATGTTCAAGATTTAAAATGAATCGAAATTAAATTTTTATTAAGAATTGGTATTTCAGCGTCATAAAATTTTCAATAATACGACAATAAATAAAGTATGCTTTTATTAAAATAATAAATAATTAAAAGTTGTTGCTTTAAAATTCATTAAAATTTGCTTTATAAATAAATATATATTTTCCCGGTGCAAAAAAAAATGTGTACAACAGATCTATGAAATTAATGTCATTCGTGTGACAAATGGCGTTATTAAGATTAAATTTAAAACTGTCAGCGTGCGGATTTGTTACTTACAAGTTTGCGGGCACGGACAGCTGGATCGACTGCTCTTGGCCGGTCATTGAAATTCGGATCCAGCTCCGAGAAGTATTGCCCCGCGAGTCCCATGTACACCATGCTTTCCTTTTTTGCGGTATTAAAAACGCGTTAGCGAAAGTTCTCACTTACATAAATAAGCCCTTTAAAATTCTGCAATTTCGCCAAGAAATATTCTCTCATTGCAATGAATCAGAACACATCCTCCAAACACGTATTTACGGTACAACATTTAACGACCGAAACGAGCAGCGCCCTTTGACACATAATCCATATATCTTCTTAAGATTTAAATACATGAATAAGAAGATGTTGACCAAGGAGATTTATTCTTTTAGCGTAAAAACTTTTTCATGCAATTTGAAAACTTTTACAGGTATTTAACCTCCCCCTTAGTAAAGTTTTCGTTCGGATGTCATTTAAAGTGAATTAAAATGCTTTTAAACTTTTAAGTACATACAAATAAATAAGTCTGTCCACTGTATGAATAATATAATGATACAAGAAAACACGAAATTTTATAATAATATTTCTTTGTAATCTAGCATTAGAGTAAGAAATAACAAATAATTTAGTTGTACATTTTGAAAAGTTAGAAAAGATGGATGATAACTCCAAACCAGTTTATAAAGAGTTACGAGGATCAGCAATGTCACAATATAGACAGATACTATTTTATTGTTGAGACTATCTTTATAGTTGTTAGAAAAGTAACATATGGGTTATTCGATAGACTGACAAAAGTTTCGTACCCATTTGTTACAGCGGCGATACTTGTCGTAACTCTTATATTTCAGAACAAATTTAAACCCATACTACTGCGTATCGATGCCAATATTTTTGACAATTTAAAAAAATTAAGTTGCGGAAAGATAATAAATAGCAGCTCATAAAAAATAAATCTATTAATTGAGTCTGAGAAACGAGCACTGCTGAGGTTAACTCAACATTAAATGAGATCGTTAAAATTAATTCTCATAATGGGCCATTACATTGATGGCAGAAACGTTATACTTCGTTTAGTACGAAATACTCGCTTTGCGAAAGTACATTACAAAAGTTCGTATAAAAGTGATTTGTAATATTTTCAAGACTAACTTTAGCAAAACTTGTGTTTCATCATCGTTCTCGTTCAGTAGAAATTTTTTGCTACATGTTTTTTTTCCATAATAGATTATACTTATGTAGATTGATTAATAAAAGCCAATAAAAAATTCATAGAAATGCACGTTTTCTCTCCTTTTATCTTATCAATTATAATACTATAATATAATTGACAAAGCAAAAATTACCTTTACGGTAACGATCAATTAGACAAAGTGCATTATAATGCAAATTCTTGATGACGCTTACACAAAGACTGTGATTCTGAATGCAAAAGCATCTCGTTGCTTTTAATGGATCGTCAAAATGCGATAATAATTACAGGAACAAAAATAAATCACCGACAAAAATAGATAAAGTGCAGCGCGAACGAAAGATTTTCCCCTCGTAAATCATTCCAGCACAATTCCTGGCATTCCGCCATGCATAAGGGTAAGTTAAGGTTCAATCCAATTAAAGTTCTATCGCGAAGATTACGGTCGTTGAAATATCTCACGATTCATTGATTGTTTGAAGATGCACTATTTACACACTTCGAATTCAAATATTACTATTATATATAATATCTATATTAAAAAAATTATTACGTTTTATATTAAATTTTTCAAGTCCGCATCAGTCATATTTAGAGAGCGTTATATAATAATTCTTTTTTATAATTTTAATACGATTAAGTTAATAAATCAGTTTTGAAGTTACCAAATTATTGGAAAACAAAAATCACATAATATATCCCCCAAAAAAATGAAAAAAACGAAATTCATGTGAACATTTTGTTTATTCTTCTAAAGAAGAGAGGAAAGATGTTGAGATTGTTGAAACTAATTTCCAAGCATCCTGTGAGTAAACATCTTAAATCTATTAATTAGAAAAAAGAATATTAATAGTAGTAAACATTAATGATAACTTCCAACACCTTCTCCCTCTCTCTCTCTCTTTCATTCTCTGCATCTTTATTTCCATGAAAGATAAAAAGCGCAGAAATATGCATCTGATAGCAATCATCTGCTCGAGCGCACTCTGCTTCGCCAAATTTCCCATCGGTTAGCCTTTCCGCCGCTGATTATTGGCGAACCGCCAGGAATGAGACTTGGCGAGCCAATTAAAATGCGCCGCCGATAGGAGCACCCGCGTTTCGCGCCGAGCATTTACTGCTGTGAAAAAAAAAAATCAACTCCGGTTTCCATCATAGTTGCGGAAGCAGCGGCGGCGTGCAATCTAACGACATAATTAACTCGCTCCGTTTCATATCCGACAAGCCGGTTTATCGGACGAGAAGAGTAATTCACGCGTGTGCATCAATCGCTATCACGGTTGAATGACAGCTACAATCGCGAACGTAACATCATTCGCGCACGCGGAATCTGCGCGACACGCACGGGCACATCATACACACAAACACATACACACAAAAACGTATGCGCATATTTCGACGGCGGCGGAAAAACGTCACGGCGACCTGCATCTCGCGCCAGAGAGAAACCCCAATCTACGCCGAGGGTGGCACGCAGATGTCAGCACTTATCGCGCACCGATAGCGCACCCCCACGGGGTGTTAAAAAAATGCCGCCTTCAAACAACAAAGTAGAGTACGAAACGCTCTTCACCATCGCTCGATGATATCTATCTCTACGCTATCTATCTCCGCGTTCGCCCTCACCCAATTTCCCTTTCCCCGCCTGCCCCACTTTCCGCACCCTCACGCGTACCCCTCACCCTCCCGAGCTCTCCGTCCTCGTCCGCCTCGCGACCGATGTTTCTCGTCTGCCACTCACCGAATGCCGCGAGTGAATCGCGACTGACTCGAGAACGGGCTCGGTCCTCTCCGGAAATTCTCGCGCACCTTCGGGGGCCAACACCGGGCTACCAATTGTTGCCCCAGTACGTTATTCCGTGACCCGCACCAACCTTTGCGCGAATTTCATCCCTTTCCCTCTCCTACCCGTTCCCGCTTACTGTCGAAAAGCCAATTACATGATTACCACCTTTGCGTACCCCATATGCTAATCCACCCATATGCTAATGAAGATCTAGTCAGAACGTATCAACGCTGAATCAAATGGATTTGAAACATGGAGGAAATTGTCAAAATTCAAAATACTCTAAAAAATATATACCGGGTTTAACAAAATCAGTAACTTATAAAGTTTACAGGCGTTTTTTTCTGTGACAAATCTGCGAATAGAGCAAAATAAATCTAAAAGAGGAAGAATGTTGACAGATTTCAAAATTGCGTCTTTGCTAAGAAACGTACAAGATATAACAGAATTAGTCGCTTCTGAATATTTGCGAGTATTTCTCTCTCTTCTTTGATCAATTTGCAAATTTAATGCGAACTCTTCTTTGATTAAAATTCTATCAATTGTTTATTACATTGCCAATTTATGTCAAGATAAATGATGGCATTAACTTATATATCAAGAGAGGATTGCAATAATTTTTACATACATTATAAAGAGTAAAGTTTAAATAGCCTACTCTTTTTGAAGGGTAAGGGTCGCATTCCTGAGTCATTTTGCTCGACCAACAGTTTAACACCAACATCATTAGTAATACGAGTGACGTGATATAATAAATTATCGTCAAACGTGTGGAAGAAATATAGCGTGACGAAAAATCATGAACTAAAACTTGGGGTGCTACGGTCTTCACCGCAGTAAAGAAGCATGTCATGTGTGCACGAGATTTGTTCGTATATACGCGAATAAGCTATTAAAAGTTTATTTTGTTTATTTTTTGCAATTTATCCCATTCCCCGATTCGCCTCAATGTAATTTGACGACCGACTGCAAATTACATCGTATACATAAAATATAATTGCGAAATCAGTATTGGTTTTTCGCGCAAACAAATATAATGATGGTAATTCTGGTAAATTCCAATATTCTATACATCATTTCGTCATTATTTTTTGGTAATAGTAATAATAAAAATAATAATAAGTATAGTTAATTCTTTTTATCTGAAAAACGAGCTTCTCGCTTCTTCTCTTTCTTAATAATTTCCTTAATTGTTATAAAATCTCATCATCAAATTTGCATATAAAAATAGATTATTGTCGTACAAAATATCATCAGCGTTTTAAAAAAATTTGCATCCTTGTTACATATATTATAATTCACACATATATAGATGAACAAAAGAAATTTTAATTATATTATTCGAATTAATTTATACTAATAATTCAATCTATTCACGTGTGTTGCGTATAAAGTCACGAATAACTAATATAATCATTATATTGTTAATTTTAGTAAAATGAAACATGTTGCGCATATTTGTCGCGTCATTTATATTGCGGTAAGAGCGATAATATAAATGTGACTAACATATTATCTGTTTCATTGCGAATCATATATCTGACATCGGAAAATCAATTATATGAGATCATATTTTAGTGATAGCCATGAGAAATACGCACTACGCGTGATACGATAAAACTGATAACTTTTTATGGCAGATTGAATCGATAATCCGCAACTCGATTAAATTGATTTAGCGCTCAATCTCAATCGTCGAATGTGGGTAGAGCGAGCTAACGCAAAACAAAATGAGCATAGTTGAGACTTTTCATGAAATGAAAATTGGACGATTTAGCGCGATGACTCTGTCCCAGGTCCGATTTCGCGAAAATGGCATTAAGATTATAAATGAAAATTGCAAACTAAAATTACGGTTGAGAAAGAAGTGAAATATTAAAGGTTAAAGCAAACATTCACGAAATGGAAATTCTGCGGCGATATCAATGTTATTATAAATGGATTATCAATCAAATTTGAACATATCCATGTGTGACATACAGTGATTGATTGATTGATGATACTCTGATTTCACTGAATAATGGTAAAATGGTGTAAATGTACACTATACTATTCGGTGTGACATTACAGTACCATCAATAACTCGACATGTTGATGATTTTGTATGTAGTTTTGTATATATATAATTTTAATGATTTTGTATGTAGTTTTGTATATATATAATTTTAAATGCACACATATAATAAATAAAAATACACACAAACACACATTATTCACACATCTACACAATTTTTTTCCATTAGGTAATAATTTAGAAGTAGATTTTTTGATAGAGAAAAAGAGAGAGGGAGAGAGATTTGTAGCCGATTTTTTCCTAACGTAATTGAGTAATATCATAAGAAATGGAGAAACATCATAAGAAATGGAGAAAAACGAATAACATCATAAAAAATCGACTTCTAAACTTTTTTCTGGAAAAATATATAAATGTAATGCTATATTTGTTATTTGTGCTTTGTTTTACTATGAAAAATCTTTTCTTTTTCATAATTTTGGTGAAAAAGATAATTGTTGATTTCGGAAAAAAATCGAAAGTGGGCATTTACTTTAAAGAATAATTTTCCCATTATATCTCTAAAAAGAGGTAAGAATAAATATCCGAACACAACAAAAAACTTGAGTATTTCTTTCAAAATCTTCATTGATAAAAATTAATTAAAAATTTCTTTAAAGAATTAATTAAAAGATACAATTATCAACCATGCTCATTATCGACGATCGTTCTAATATTACAATCAATATTTTTTATTCATACAAGAGATATTAAATATTTCGATTTCTCATCGAAAGTGTTTATCACAATTTTATATTTAATGCAACAAATGATTTCTCTGTATATGTACTTTTTATAGCGCAAATCAGTTTAGATAAACCTTCAATGTTTTTTATTCAACGTAGGGACATACCGCCACCTTGCAAACCTTAAAGGAAGCGTATTACTTTGATTCATTTATTCTACGAGAAATAGTTATCGACAGAGGTTTATTCTTACACCAAAGTTACATGATTAAAAAAGCTTTCCACGCATAATTCATCGTAATAAAACTCGATAATAGCGAAGACAAACAATCACAAAAAATATGCAATTGCATTATAATGTATAATCGAAAAATAATTTGTTTTAATAACGAAATTATCGACTTAGAATGCAATCTCTAGATTTTAGCACAGTTTTAATTTCCCGATGCATGAGAGGAGCAAGAGATAACACCAATAATATAATAATATTAATTTTGAGAATATTATTTGTAGAACTAAATTCCATAATAGCATACATTATATGCATATTTATGATAAATTTCCTGTGAAATGCAAATATACGTCGTAAAATTTATGCATTACGCATATGTGCACAGACGCATTTCGTCGCTCTGTAAGTGCGATAAAAGATTAAATAATCTTAAAGACGTTATTTAATCTTTTATAATTATAAACAGATGTTTATTCCACTTGTAAACATCTTCAATGAATTCATTTAACTCT